CCCCTCCCATCCCATCCCCACCTTCAACCCTTCCCCCTCCTCCCCAGGCTCCACCTCCCAACAGGGCGCCACCCCCCTCCCGACCTCCTCCAAGGCCTTGTGTCTAGAACCCAAAGTTCCTGCTCTGGGCTCTCTCAGAAACTTCAGGGAGGAGGCTCCTCTGTGGTGTTAGAACAAATCTTTCCAGTTAGAGGAGGTGAGTGGTGATAAATCCCACTGATGTTCACACACTTTAAAAATTGGTTGGCAATGCCAATACACCAACAATCGTGATCAGCAGAAAGAAATAGAAATTTTGAATTGCCTGAAAACAAATGATGAGGCAACTACAGTCACATTTATAGCCAGCCATCTATCACCTCTAGAAGGTTCCAGAGACAGTGAAACTGCCAAGATGCTCTCACCGGGATTATGTCTCATGGAGACCAGTAAGAAATTCATTTCTCTGAGAGTGAAATGCAGAGTTGGATAAGAAATAACATTGCTGGGGTTTTAATGCTGCCCTCCCGCCTCCACCTCACCTCTACCCCTGCACCCTGGACCCTTCACCTGTGCCCAGGAAGGAGGAAACCTTTGCCTGCAACTTTGGAAAAGCTTGGGATCCCCAGAGTGCCAAGAAACTCAACAGGTATCCAAAAGGATGTTCTCTTGGGATTTGCAGATGAATGAAAACATCTGCCTTCTTTTCCTTTCAAACTCTCCCAGTTTCCAAATGGGAAAGGGAGCAGGTGTTTACTGATGGAAAAGGTATGTTGCCATGTTGATGTGTAAGTGAAATCAGTTGTGTGCAATTGACAGGGGAGTATTGATGGGAGCATCAGACAGTTTCTAAAACCCATAGGCCATCAGCAGCTAGAGGTGACTGGCTTTGGCCAGACATGGTCCCCTAAATCAACAGACAATGGCATTGTCCAAGAGCAACCTGTTAATGATTCATATTAAAAATCAAGGTTTGGCTTCAGTTTAAATCACTTAAGATATGAAGTGATCGATCCTGTTTTCCAGAGACAGACATGAATTGATCTTCCCAAAATAGCATCATTAGCTCCTACCACACGATATCACTGATTTGTTTTCCTTCTTGGTAAAGTTGTATACCAGAGACTTCTAGGTAGAGCCGAGTGAGAGACAGTGGTCCTGACATGATATGGAAACTATCCCCAGGTTGTTTGATTAACCCCAAAAAAGATAGGTGTGTGTGAATGCAAATACATTTCCCCTTGGCTTTTCAACATACAGTATTATCAGCTGTTAAGCAAGGGGAAATACACCAGATGTACAACACAGAAATGCTCTGCCTGAAATTCCCACCATGCCTGGGACCCACTGCCTTCCTCCAAGTCTTTCTGAATCTGTTTAGTCAGTAAGTCCTATAATCACTTGCTAAATGGTGGGCTTCTTCACCCAGGGTTAAAATCAGAAGTCTTTGTCAAGGGTCTCCTGCACCAGCCCGTTCAACATTATCTCCCCCTCCAGCTTTCCACAGGTCCTAAAATTCCTGTCCCCAACCCCTCAAATTCTTAAATCTTTTCTGGAACAAAACAGAATATAAAATGTATATAAACTTGGTGCTTTGGGCTATGGTCTCCAGAGATCCATCAAGCCATCCTCATTCTCTCACCTTACTTAGTACAGAGACATAAGGGCTTGGCAAGCATTCATAGACACCAACTCTTGTGCCTGTGGCAGACATTGCTAATCAATCAAGGCACTATTTCTCATTAAGCCCAATGACTTCTTAACAATCCTTCTCAAATCACAACTCCAAAGAGCTACCGCCTATCAGTCAGAATGAGAGAAATGAATCCTACTTGACATCCCTACCTTAGAAAGCGGAAACAAACAAGGGTTTCAAGGGAGAATAGGGAAGTCCAGGGGCATAAAAGGTACAGTCAGGGGAAGATAGATCTGGGCAGAGTGCCTAGTGGGGGACCATAGGCACTGAATCCACCAGTCATGCCAAGTTGACATGTCTCCAAGCGTACCTCAGACCCCAACCTTCTCCCACAGCTGCCACTTGCAAAGAATGTCACAGCTTTCTCAGAGAGCTAAAATCAGAGATGGTTTTCTGGACTTAGGGAAGCAACCTCCCTCCCCCTCACCCAACCCTGCTGCATCGCCTATTTTTAGAGCACTAGGCTTCCTTAGTATAGTCCCTCGTAAGTAGGGGCCAGAATGTCTCAGCCACCTGCAGCCACATTGCAGGGCCCCAGAACACCATTCCATAGGAGAATGGGCTCCCCGGGCTCACAGCGTAGAAATGTTGAGCCCATGGCAACTGTTTTGACTGCTGGCAGTCCAAAACGGTCCACCCCACACCACTGCCGCGTGACTCACGCAACTCACGCGGCCATCAGAAAGCTCAAGCCAAGATGCTGACGTTGCTGAGCAACAAGATGGCGGGCATCAGGTGAGAATGCAACATTCAGGACCTCAACAGCACATCAATCAGATGCCCTGTGCAGTTACAAGATGTTGTTTTGGTGAAGTGTTTTGATGAACTAGGGAACTGCAAATATATGATGATTTTGGAAAGGATTAGCAGGGTTTGTCCTTAAAACTGACTCAGTGTGTCATCCATAATCATTTAGAATTACAGTTAAGAAGGAGAAACTTCTATACACTGTATGAACAAGGTGATATTTTCATAGTGGGTTATGACAGGCAGGAAAATTCTTTAACTGGTTTACAAAATCCATCTTTACTTGTGTCAGCCCCTGTAAAAGACAGGAGACATATGATTGTGATTAGGAAACTGCACAAAATTAGTTTTTCAACTCCCTTGTTATTGTCCTTATGAAGGTTTTTTTAATTAAAGCCAAATTTTCGTTGTATATATTCGTATTCTGTGTGTTAGATGGAAGCATTTCCTATCCAGTGTGAATAAAAAGAACAGTTGTAGTAAATTATTATAAAGCCAATGATATTTCATGGCAGGTTATTCTACCAAGCTGTGCTTGTTGGTTTTTCCCATGACTATATTGCTTTTATAAATGTACAAATAGTTACTGAAATGACGAGACCCTTGTTTGCACAGCATTAATAAATAAGAACCATGGTCCTCTCTGTCAACAACCAGCTCACAAACACTTTCTTGCCTGAAGCTTGGTACACACTCCAGCGAGACACAAGGTCTCTCTTTTACTAAGGTCAAGAACAGAGCTGGTGGGTAAATTAATTAATAGTCTTGGATATCAGGCCATGGGTAACCTGATTGTAAATATCATTAGAATGGGCAGAGATGATCTCGAAGAGTCATATATAGTAAAGTCCAAACACCATGTCAGATGGGGGAAATCCATCAGAGAACTAGAAAAAAATAATAATTATGAGATAATGAGCAACAGTTTCAGCCCAGCATCAACTCAATAAAAAACAAATTAATGCTGTGTAAAATGGGTTGAATTAGTTTGCTAACTATATAAAGATATATGCAGTAAAAAGCCTGTTAATGCACACCAGGTGGGAACGGAGTGTTCTAGTCAATTGCCTTTTCTAGTTATCTGAGCTCCACTATATTATCATACTCAGATAACCAGTTTAAAAGAATTAGAATATGATTTTTTAAATACACTTAACATTAAACTCTTCTAACTCTTTCTTCTTTCTGTGATAATTCAGAAGACGGTTAAGGATCTTCAGTGCCTCTGAGTCATTGTTATAAAAAATCAGTTATCACTGTACCATGCTATAGGAGACTGGGCTCAACCTGCATGATGACAAACCCTGGAAGTTGCTTTTTTTAAAAAAAATAATAATAAATTCCTCAAATCAACTCTTTTTACTGGTTATTTGTTTGTTATAAAAATAAAATGCAGCTTGTTCAAGAGTTCAACATCCTCATCATAGTAAAATGGCTGTGTTCTGTACATTAAATTACATTAAATGACTCTGTACATTTAATAATTTCTCAAATTATTTTGTGCCTTCCACTGAACTGTCTGGACTATTGTCATTTTTTCTTTAGCTGTCCGACATTCAAAATATTCTTTATTTCTAGTAAAAATTTCCAAATTAAAAGTAATCTATGCTAAATGAAAAAAAATAAGTGAAGACAGAGGAACACACAGAAAAAAGTATACTGTGTCAGTTAGGATTGTGTTTGTTTACCATAGCAGAAAGGCACCTATTATTCATTTTACTCACAGAGCAGACAGCAGAGGTTTGCAGCTACCCAAGAACCCAGGCAGCGTTATAGATAGTGCTGCAGTAAATACCCTTCTATCTATGTACATCTCAAAATATTTTTATTGTTTCTGCATTTCTGATACAAGTCACTTTATTCCTCTCAGCAGTTTCAATTCAGGTCCTGTTTAAATTTTTTGTAGTTAGAAGAGCGTGTTCTACTATTCCCTGAATTTTTTTTTTTTTTTTTTTGAGACAGGGTCTTGCTCTGTTGCCCGGGACTAGAGTTCAGTGGTATCATCATAGCTCACTGCAACCTCAAACTCCTGGGCTCAAGCAATCCTCCTGCCTCAGCCTCCCATGCAGCTGGGGCTACAGGTGTGCACCACTACCGTGCCCAGCTCATTTTTCAGGTTTTTTGTAGAGACGGGGTCTCACTCTGCTGCTCAGGCTGGTCTCAAACTCCTGGCCTCAAGCGATCCTCCCACCTTGACCCTGAATTTATTTATTTTTTTTTTTTATTTCAGCATATTATGGGGGTACAGATGTTTAGGTTACGTATGTTGCCCTTGCCCCCCGCCAAGTCCGAGTTTCAACTGAATTTATTTCTTTATGAGATTTCATTAAGCCTTGAATTTGTCCTAATTGAAATAAAACCATCTGCAAACAAAAAGTCATGTCACAGTTTTTTCCAAGTTTTCATTGGTATTCACTTTTTAATAGCTTTGGGCACATGCACATTTTTTAATGACATCCTTAATAAATGGTTTTGAGATAATCGGTTAGCAATTTGAAAGGCAAAAGAAAAGCTGGAGCCCTAGCT